ACTAGCACAAGAACAGACCTCAGGACCAATGGAATAGAATTGAAAACCCAGAAATGAACCTACAGACCTATAGCCATCTAATTTTCGATAAGGGAGCTAAAAAAATAGAATGGAAGAAAGACAGCCTCTTCAATAAATGGTGCTGGCAAAATTGGTTAACTACTTGTAGAAAACTAAAGCTAGATCCTTATATATCACCCTGCACCAGAATCAACTCCAAATGGATCAAAGACCTCAGAGTCAAAGCAGACACTCTGAAAACATTACAGGATAGAATAGGAGAAACCCTAGGTCTCCTTGGCACAGGCTGAAATTTTCTTAATAGAGACCCAGAAACTCAACAAATCAAAGAAAGGTTGGACAAATGGGATTGCATGAAATTGCAGAGCTTCTGCATGGCAAAGGACATAGCTAGCAAGATCAATAGAAAGCCCACAGATTGAGAGAAGATCTTCACTAGCCATACAACGGACAGGGGTCTCATATCTAAAATATACTTTGAACTCAACAAATTAAATCCCCCTTCAACAAATCTTCAAAGATACAACTGCCCAATAAACAAGTGGGCTAAAGACTTAAAGAGAAACTTCTCTGAAGAGGAAAGAAGGATGGCCAATAGACACATGAAGAAATGCTCAACCTCTATAGCCATAAAAGAAAGGCAAATCAAAAGAACATTGAGATACCACCTCACCCCAGTTAGAATGGCTATAATGAAGAACTCTAATAACAACAGATGCTGGAGGGGATGTGGACAGAAGGGAACTGGACTGCATTGTTGGTGGGAGTGTAAACTTGTTCAACCACTTGGAAAGCAGTGTGGATGTTCCTCAAAATACTCCACATAGAGCTCCCCTATGACCCAGCAATCCTAAACTTTTTCATTTTAGTTTTGTTTTGGAGATTCAGACAAGGCCATGTTCCACCTATCTGTACAGCCCTAGTAACCATGATTATAGGAGATTATCCAAATGCCTAGGTTTCTTTTGAGATAGCTTTTTGATAACAATTGGCCAGAATAACCTCTGCTTGAATGCACTTCTTTACTTCTCTCATTTGTGTGGATTTTAGGCAATATTTTGAATGCTATTTAATCTTGACATATGCTCAGATTTCTAAAAATAGTTATTATTTTGAGGCCTGAGATTACAGAATTGATGAATATTGATATGTGGCTAAATAATTTTGCCAAGTGAAGATCTCCTTAGCAAAAATAGATTTCCCCTAAAGCCTAATTTCTCAAACCTTGTATGGATCCTTATTACCTGCTTAAATTACAGATTGCTATGCAGTAGGTATGGGTGTTTTCATAAATTTTGTGTGTGTTGTTGGGGTGAGCCAAAACTAACTCCTCTTTTAATATACCAGGAGTTCCTGTCCACCCTTGAGAATCAAAATACTGGTTTCTCAAAAGCCCCCAGAGTCAGTAAATATGCTGTTTGTTGAGACCCCAGGAAATGTGGAAACTGTTTGGAAAGCACCTTAGGATTGTTGTGATCAGGTTGTGTGATGTATAGCCCTGTTTGATTATCAATAGCCCAGACAGGATCTGCAGCCCTGTTTGGTTATCAACAGTAACACAGCCCAGCCACCTTTGCTCTGCCAGAAAGGAGCAGCCTATTCTCTGTCCCCATGAATGAGAATATCCACCTGCTTTGTGTGGAGACCACCCAAATTGCATCCCAATTCAAACTAGAATGATAGGTTAGTTCAAACAGATACTATGAGATGCAGAGCACATGGGCAGCAAAGATGGCACTGAGAAAGAGTAGAGTGGGCAGAGCCCAATTTCCCTTAGGTTCAGTGCATAATCAGCCCGTGGAAGCTTAGGTGCATGATAGGGTGTGACCTTGACAGTGTAGTTTCCTCCGTTCCCCCCCCCCCCATGCTACCTGCCCTTTTGGGCTTTAAAAAGGACTGCTCTCTGTTAATAAACGAGTTTTCTTCCTACTTGATTTGGCTCTCCACTGTGTCTGATTGTCTCCCGGGCTGAGGAAGGCTGGGGATCGGGGGAGCACTGCACTTACCTTTCCTTGGACCCCGTCCGTCTTTCGTGGGACGGACGAAGACCCAACAATGAGACAGAGTGTAACCCCATTGGCCACTGACATAAATATGCAATCTTTGTGTGTGCGCTACAATCCTGTTGGCCACCTGCATGTTGACAGGCTTGACCACATGAGTATTGTCTTTAAAATCCCTAGCTTGAGGCCCAATCGGGGTGGCAGTTTCAGCTCCAGAGTCTGTGTTGAGTCCCTAGCTGGTCAGCTATCCACTTCCCCAAAAATGTCATCTTTTTACATGAGTCTGTCTTTACATGAATGGTGGACTCTTTTCCCCAGAATATGTGTAAAACCAAGTACATGACAAGAACAAATAAGGGAAGGAAGCGCTAATTTGGGTTCATAGTTTCAGAGATTTCAAATCACAATCATTGACTTCCTTGGCCTGAGGTGAGGCCCAAGATCAGGCTGTGGGACCATCTAGCAGAGGCTACTCAACTCAAGGTACAATAGAATCCAAAGGAAAAAAACAAAAACAAAACAAAACAAACCATAGGAAGTAGTAAGGGCAAGATTAGCCCCAAGGACATGCCCACAAGTGATGTATTTCCTCCAACTGAGCCCTACCCCATGCTCTTAACACTTCCCATACCACCACCCTATTGTTAACCCATCAAGGGGTGAATAAACACATATCCAATAGTATGAAGTAAACACAGAGGACAAAAATACACCCAGAGAAACCAGGTCTCTGCTAGTTTTCAACACAACACTGAACAACATGAATAACATGAATTTCGCTGAAGAACAAAAAACTGATTCACAGAAGGAAAATTGTCCTTTTTCCTCCAATTGTACCATGTGACTGTGCAGGTGGAGGAATTAGTGTCTCCCTGTTCTTGTTTGATTTCAGTGTGAAGGCCTGGAAGGATGTTCATATTGGCCTCCTCTAACAAATCTAGTGTCAAAATATGATAATTAGCAACAACAAAGAAACTTTATTAATGCTATCTGGTGGACTAGTTATTATTTTGGCTTCAAATATTAAGTCTAAGAAGCAGAAAATGTTACATTCTGGAATACTGAATTACAAACTATTGAGAATCAGAAAATGTTACATGCTGGAATACTGAATTACAAACTATTGGGAATCCTCAAGCAACAAACTCCTAGCAGTCTCAGTATTGGCACCTCTGATAGAGCCTCTGGAGGGTCCCTCATATCTGTGGCTCAATTTTCAGGCTATGAACTACAAAGAAGACAGCTACTCCTGTCACTCTAGCTGCAGGAGGCTCACAGCCCTGCCTACAAGAACCAGAGGTCTGGCCTCGTGGCTTGCAGCAATGCTTGTGTTGACTATATTCCCATGTTGGTCACATGAGGATTTGTCTGCTTTGTGGACACAGGGGCTGTTTCTCCCTCAATCCACATTTGCATTCTGACACCATATTGCAATCTCACTTCTTTTTCTCACAGAAGATACTGTGGAGCTTTTTTTTTTTTTTTTTTTTTTTTTTACAAAGGAAAGAAATGTATCTCAATTGAAAAGGAAACCAAATTCACTCAGCACCTCCCTCATCACAATTGGGAATGTACCTATGGTCCCTAAAGGACTAAAAATTTAGTTTTAATATATTTCTGTGTAGTTACTGTTAGTGTTGTGCTCAGCTTTGTTCCTTAGCTCCACCCAGAACTGGGTCCTCCTCCCATCCTGGAGTTCCCTCCATACATTGTCCCCTCCCTCTCTCTGCCCAGACCCACTTGAACTCCCATTTACCTCACTTCCTATCCCTCACACCCTCTTGCTATCTGGATGGTGATGGAGGCCATGTGCTACCACTTGGGGGAAATACGGCTTCTATAATAAACCTTACAATATTCTTTCTCCTGTGCTTGCCTGCTTCTGCCTGGTCCCATGGATGCATGTGTCTGATCCTCTTACAGTTACATTGATGGGCTGACAGCCCAGTTCAGGATCATGATCACAAGCCTTATTACTAGAACAACCATGCTGGTACTTGAAAATCAATGGTCTATCCCACAGCTCTGAACCCAGCTGGAGGATGTATTGCATCCAGGTTGACATAGCATGTGAGAAAAATTCAGACTCTTCCAAAATTGTTTCTGTCCATCAAGTGATGGAGATTTTCTGTCTTAGAGACACTAAAAGATATACAATGCTTCAGACCATAAAACTGTCAATAGGATCTAGACACAGATACAAGACAGAATACAAGACAGATACAAGGGCTCAGTCTCAGTTCTGTGACCTCTGAACACTATTACAGGACTTCATCACACTCCACTGTCTTAAATAGAGCCAGAGCCCCAGAGCACACAAGGCCAGAGACCACTGTGGAGATTCCAGTACTGTATCAGCCCAAGCTTGATTCAATGAGGAACAAGTGGGAGAACTCTGTGAAGGGCTTGATATTTATACAGGGTTTGGGGACAAACAGAGAAGATGCTAGACAATGTACAACTGGGCTTCCAGCTTCTGAACAGAAAACATAACATAGACTGTATGGATGGGCCAAAACCATGTGCATGATGGAAGTTTTATAAGTTTCCTTATGAAGGGAATAAAATCATAGAAGATACTTGATGCTTATATCACTGATTGTCTATAGTACTACTTAAGAGACACATATTTTTTTCAATAGATACCTCATTGTTTACCTAAAGTCTCTGGTCTTTATCCTTTCATGATTTTCTCCTGCTCTTAGTAGTTTCCAAGTCATCCAATTATCATATGCTCTTCATGTCCACCCAGTCACATTGATCACAATATCTTCCTCCTCAGCTCATTCAGACAATCTTCTCTGCTACTTCCCAGACCAGCAACACATGAGGGCTGCTCACCCAGCCAGAGGAGAGGTTCTAGTTCAGGGATGTATCACTGTGGGATGATTATGTGTAGCTTGAAAGGAGTAATACACCCCAGCATCCTCAGTTTCCACACTGCTACATTTCAATGTGCAATCTGTGCATGACCCACTGCCACTGAATCTTTCTGAGATCCCAGATTCTCAGTTGGAAACCTCATAGATCAGGAGTTGTGGAGACTGCCCTCGCTTCTGCAGGAACCATTTCAAATATGTGTTTCCATTGCTATATAGAAAGTTCTGAATAGACCTGCAAGAGATGGAGGCTGGCTCTCCTAGGGTGACAAGCAAGGGGAGTGGAGTCTGGGTCACCACAAAATCTCCACTTGATCCTGAAATTAGAATAAGATAGAAGTGCAAGGTTATACACAAACGTACAGAGACATGCTTTTTATTTTTTATTTTGATGTATTACCTATTATTAATATTACATGGTTTGACTTATAATATAAAAACATTTTGCATCTAAAATTGTGAGTTAAAAAAAACTACTCAGAGCTTATGAAAAGAAACTTATTTTACGAATGAACTAATACAGATTATGTGGGAAGGGGAGAGAGAGAAATGGGGTATTTGAGTAGAAATGCTCTTAAATGATTTAATTAAAAAGGAAAAGGCATCTCCCTATCTTCCATGCTCATTAAAGTGAAAAAATAGAGATAATTTTAAGCATAAGTAGGGCTCTAGGCATAATTCATTATTCTCACCAAACACAGGTTTTCACTCCTTCTGCAGACCTAAATCTCACTTACTCCATCATGATTAACAAGACCTGCACATCTAACACATGGATAGGGCACAACTGGAATCTCAGATCTCACCCTGCCACCCCACTCTCATTTCTCATCCCCCTTTGCTGTTACCAGGGATCCAGAGCATTAACAGCCACAGGAGCTGAGACAAGGACTTCATTTTTAGGACTGAAATGAGGAGTTTTGACAGGTCAAGGCAAGTTCTGATCTGAGCCTTTATCTCAGACTTAGAAAGGAAGGCCTTCCTTCCTTAGGGAGCAGTATGCAAATAGCCAGGTTGGGGCAACAGTGTGAGAAGAGTCAAGGGGAGGTAAGGCTTGCTCTTCTGAGCAAAGTAGCAGCAGATCTATTCTATATTTGGTGTCAACCAATAAAATCCATGATGCCTTTAGCATGGAAAGAAGGACTCCACTGATAATATCTGGAATTGAGGGAAAAACAGGATGCACATCACCTCACCACCCTAAAACAGCATCAGAGGCCCAGCTTTATGTCCAGGAGACACTCTAGAAAAGGAATGGACATTGTGTCTAGGTCCTCCATTCCTCCCTCATCTAATCTAGAGAAAGACACAGTGTCAAGCATCAGCAGCACTGATTCTCAAAACAGTTCACCAATAAAAGCACAGAGTTGAGCTAGATGAAGAGGCATACCATAGTTACCAGGTTATCTCTTAGGGATGCTTGCATCTCTATTTGCCAGGATCTTCATATTAAGATGTAGGGAATAGAATTGACAAGGATAACAAAATTTTCTCTTGCAGGTTGTAAGTACCCTAATGGTCTTTTAACGTAATGGGAAAAATTATTACACTTGAAAGAATGAATTCAATGTAACAGTTTTTTTTTTAATTTAATTTAATTTGTGAACATACTGTACAGAGGAGTTACAGTTACATGGGCAGGATAATGCGTACATTTCTTACCAAGCATTGCATCCTCCTCCTTTGTTTACCCTTCACATCCCTTCCCAGCCTCCCCTCTCCCCCCCTAATTCCAATCCTTCTCCTTCACCCCCCCCTCCCCCCCCTCCCCGCACCAACATTGTAAAGCTCGTTTTGGACATGACAACTTGTACTTCTCATTGTTGCAACAGGTCCACCTGTATCCTTAAACAACTGGTTTTTCCCCATCTCCTCCACAAGTTATACTGACATCAAATATAGTGAAAGCAGGGGTTATACTGTGGGGGAGGGACATACAAAGCAACAAAGAGATAATCTTATAAATGTGTTAGAAACACATGCATGAAAGAAAAAAAACATTAAAATACACATCTAAGGGTTCATTTTCCTGACATCACATTATCTGACCTTTTCCACTTGACTCATACATATACTAGATATTACAAATAAGGGAAACCATGGGACCTACGTTTCTTTGGGCCTGGCTTACTTCACTTAATATAATTTTTTCCAAGTTTTTCCATTTCCTAACAAATGGGGCAATGTCATTCTTTCTGATGGAGACATAGAATTCCATTGTGTATATATACCACATTTTCTTGATCCATTCATCTACTGAGGGACATCTGGGTTGGTTCCATATCTTAGCTATGGTAAATAATGCTGCAATAAACATAGTTGTGCTGGTAGCTTTAGTGTGGTCTTGTTTGTAAACATTAGGGTAAATGCCCAAAAGTGGGATTGCTGGGTCATAGGGGAGCTCAACCACTTTGGAAAGCAGTATGGAAGTTCCTCAAAATGTAACAGTTTTTTAAATTCACTAAATACCTTGTCATTCTTCCACAATGTATTTGTACAGCAAATTAATCAAAGGAGAGTACAGGAAGGGTAAAAGGATCAAAATATGGTGTACTTATTAATTGACATACTGAGGTGAGACCATTTTGTGTAACTACTTGAAATGATATATATATATATATACATATATATATATATATATATATATAATTTTGATTATCTTAAATTAACATAAAATCTCCAAATATCTCCAGTCCCAATCTAATTTAACTAGTCTCTGTTTATTTGTCTCAGAGATTTTAGTCTCTGCTTCACCTGAGGGAAGGAAGAGCACATGCAGGGTGTTTGTACTGCTGCCCCAATGGATGAACCAGTCCAATGGAAGAGGTGACTTGTGGGAAGTGATTATATTATGGGATTGGAGATTATACCCACTGCTCACCAGAGGGTTACAGATACTCTCATGCAGTGAGGCAGTTCTCATAATAGTCACCTGCTATCAAATGAAGAAAACCATAGGCTTGGCCAGCTCAAATTACAACTGGTTCTCTCTTTATTAACACAACATATTGTACCACATGCAAGAGAGTCTTCAGAGTAAAGACAGATGAAGATACAACATCAGGAATGTTCTGCATCTAAAACTATGACTTAAAGAAACTCTTCTTTATTCAGAGTTTAGGTCAGCTACTTTGTTAAAGAAAAGGACTGACAATGGTGTGTCATGTTTGTGTGTATGCACACACGTGTGTGTGTGTGTGTGTGTGTGTGTGTGTGTGTGTGGGTGTGTGTGTGAGAGAGAGAGAGAGATAAATTTGGTTTAAATAGAAGTGCTCATAATAGGCTAATTGAGGAGTAAAAAGCATCTCTCTACCTGAGATACTTTTCTTCTTCAAAATACAATTTCTTAATCCTTACCGAGATTACTTGTTAACTTGCTGAAATGCAGATTCACATTCAGTAGATGTGAAGTGGATTTGTAATATTGCATTGGTAACATGCTCTCAGAGATGCTATTGATGATCCTGAATTCTGGACACCTTCTGAGTAGGAAAGAAAATACTAGTACATACATGTTTAGTTGTGTTTGCTTCCTTTTTGTCAAGAAATATTTCTGTTTGATAATGGTCACTTACATATTTCATGAAAATATCTCATTTTCCATGAGCTGAGACTTCCTGAAACTCTTGCTATAGTTACAAGTTGCTAATAGGAAGAGTCATGTGTGTATCTGGTCTTGGGCAATGCCCTCCTGGTTATATTCTGGGAGTTAGGCGGTGACTTCACTGGATCATCAACTATGGGCTCCCATCACCACAGTCTCTTCAGGAAATACATTTCCCAGCACTGCTCTCCCTCTCTGCTTTCCTGTTTATATTCTGAATGAGATGGGACATCTTCTAATCACATATAAGATTGGAAGGTGGAAGGGACTCAATCCTATAGATCCACAATATGCAAGGAACTTGGACAGAGGTGAGAGTGTGGACAAGTGAGAACTCGATACACCTCTCGTCTTAAATTCTATTTTTAATATCTATAAGGAGTTGTATAAAATGATTTCCATTAAACATATGAGGTTATAAATGCAATTCTTCTTTACCTATCAGCCTTTCATCATTCTGAACCATCCCTCCCAATCCAGCTCCTCCCTTCCATATACATTTCCATGTGTAAGAATGTATGTTAATTACTAAATGTGAACTTATGACTCTCAGTATGTCTGTAGGATATATGGAAGTCACTTCTTATTACTCTGATAAATATAGGTATAATATGGGTCACTATGTAACTGTACCTAGTGCCTGACTCCACAAGTGTCTTAAAGGTTTTTTATTTATTCACATATATTTATTTCCATGCTTCAGTTTGGATTTATGTGAACTAGGCCAGAAGCCAAGGGTGCTTTTGTTATCTGCTCTCTGAATAACACTTCTAAAATCAAGCACCAGAAAAAAAAACATATTCAAACCTTCCAAAACCTGATACAAAGTATTAGTTAATTTTTTCTTGATATTTCCTGAAGTTGTTTAAAAACTTATTTTTCCACTCTACTTTGGAAAGTTTAGAACAATTATATGATACTCAGTATCAAATCAAATTTTCTGAGAACTAGATTAAAATGTTGTATGTTTTGACATGAGAGTTGAAATTATTTAAAAAAATACATTTGCTGGAAATAAAATTCCCTGACAGGAAGTTGATAAATGTTGAAGGTACTCAACTCACTTGTTTATTACATTATTTAGCATTCCCAAACATCATATGGTACTTCAAATAAAATTATTCCATGGAAATCAAAAGTTGAATTAAAAAATTTTAACGACTATTTTTTTTTTAAAGTAGTTTTCAAAATGCTTTTCACAAGGTATTTTTCCTTGCCTTTAAAAACCTGCCCTGACATATATAGAATGGCTTCGTTATTGATTGACTGCAGAATTTTAGGAGAGACTAGACCATACATGAGTACAGAGCAGTGTTCTTTGTTTTGTTTTGTTTTTTTGGGGGGGGGGTCCGGTCGTGGGGCCTGGACTCTGGGCCTGGGTGCTGTCCCTCAGCTCTTCAGCTCAAGGCTAGCGCTCTACCACTTGAGCCACAGCGCCACTTCCGGCTTTTTTCTTTTTGCTTATGTGGTGCTGAGGAATCGAACCTAGGGCCTCAGGCATGCAAGACAAGCGCTCTACCACTGAGCCATCTTCCCAGCCCCAGAGCAGTGTTCTTTGTAAGTCACAGAAGAGGCAGTGTCAGGTGTGTGCTGCTTGGGATGAGCAGGAGGACAGACAGTTAAGGTATGCAATTGACTCCAGAACCTATCTCCCAATGGTTCCAGTGACCTTAAAAATGGTGCTGCATCTGAGATGCTCTGTCAGCAGTTGGAATCACCAGGGTAAGCATCTGGGGCAGCCCAGGCTCTCACTTCTGCTTCCCTGGGAGGTTTTTGTTATGACTGGTGTCACAGGGGTAGGGAACTAATTACCCTGCTGACAGTAGTAAGTGGCAAAATCTTCAGGCTGCAGGCTGCTGATGCTGAGAGTGAACTCTGTGCCAGATCCACATCCACTGAACCTCCATGGGACCCCAGATTGCCAAGTAGGTGCAAAATAGATCAGGAGCTTTGGAGCTTTCCTTGCTCTCTGCTGGTAAGAATGTAAATAATTGCTAATGATCTGACTGGCTTTGCAAGTGATGGTGCTTCTCTCTCCCAGAGATGTAGACAGGGATGGTGACTGGGTCAACTGGACATCACAACGAGCACCTGACTTTGGAAACATTAAAACAATTAATCATTGAATTAATGATATTATCCAAGTACTTCCACGAAGCCTCCAGCTGCTCTGTTAATATGAGAAGAGTAATCTCCACATTATTCTTCCTTACCTGGGAGCCCGAGCATCAGGAGCCCCAGGAGCTGAGCAGGGGCCTTCATGTCCAGGCTGTTTGTTGAGTGGAACCTTCTCCTGCATAGGGTGTGAGCAGCCTCTGAAGAAGTTCTCAGGGCAGTGGGCTGTGCTCAGGGCACATGAAAGTCAGCAGGGTTGGAAAGATTTAAAAGACATGGCTAAATGTATAGCTTGGTGATCTTCATGAATTTCTGAGCTAGCAGTCTCCAAATCTCTCAGGTAACATTCCTGTCTCCTATCAATATCCCAAAAAGACCCCCTTAAAGGTAAGATATTCCCTAAACCAAGAACTCACATCTACTTCAGTCTCTTCTGCTTCCTAAACCTTCATGTTCTTATGCTATCCTCTCTTCCAATTCAGAATAACATTTTTTAGTAACTAGGCTAGAACTTGCGGACCCAGCAGGTTCAGATTTGATGAAATGAAACACAGTAAAGGGTGAGCAAGGCAATGAAACCACAATGAATGGAGAAGACATCCTTAGCATGGGAAGCAAGGAAAACCTGCCACAGACAGTGAAGGCAGAGCGCAGTGAGGAAGGCTCCCACATCAGGACCAGCATGTGGGGACACTGTCCACCCTAGTGCAGGATGTCACATCTGGGGAGCCACTAGCAGGGCATTGCCATGACAGTGAATCAGCCTCTCATCATTGTGAGTCCAAGCAGCTGCTGCAGGCACACAAGTTAACACTGCTCCTCAAAGTCTGAAGCTCACACACAGGGAAAGTCCCTGCCAAAGTCAGAGTTCTCTTCATCATCCTTCACTAAATGAACTGCATTTGGATCTGGATTTGAGAGATTCACAAACTTCGACCCCAATTATGATGTATCTGCGGCCTGAAATATGATACTTCTGAAGCCAAAGGAAGTTATGATGAAACTGTAAAACTCATGCCTTTCTATTTACCTGCATTTAATTAGAGGAACTTTGAAGGTGGACCTGTCTTTTGATAAACATCCACTCCTGGTGCACACATCGTCTTGATACCTTGGTTTGAGACCAAGACATTTTAGGAATGGCTATGTTTCAGGAGGAAAGAAGAGTGGATATGAGAGTGGAGATCAACCACTTCACAATTTGTGTAATAAGGGTGGGGGGATGTGGGGAGGGATGGGAAAGGGAAGAAAAGGAGGAGGCTAAAATGCTTGATAAGAAATGTACTCATTATCTTGCCCATGTTATTGTAATCCCTCTGTACAGTATTTTCACAACAAAAAAATTAAATTAAATTAAAAAAAATTATTTGTTTATAAGACTCTTATGCCCTGGGTCTCAGGTAGAAATCATAAACATAAAGATCTCTTGTGTAGAGGATACTAAAGCTACCAGCACATGTTTTTAATACAGCATTATTTACCCTACCTAAGATACAGAACCAATCCAGATGCCCCTCAGGAGATGAATGGATCAAGAAAATGTGGTATATATACAAAATGGAATTTTATGCCTCCACCAGAAAGAATGTTATTGCCCCATTTGTTAGTAAATGGAAAGACTTAGAAAAATATGTATTAGGTGAAGTAAACCAGGCCCAAAGAAACAAAATTCCCATGGGTTCCCTTATTTGAAATAACTAGTATATATCTCAGACAAGCAGAAAAGGTCAGGGAAATGAACCCCAAGACAGGGACACAGGTGTTTTTTTTTTTCTTCCTTGCAATGGTTTCTAAAGTATTTAACAGGTACCATGTAATTTTCTTGTAGCTTTGTATGACCCTCCCCATGGTATAACCCCTGTTTTCATTGTATTTGATGTTGGTATAATTTGGGGAGCGAAAGGGTAAAAACAAATTGTTCAAATTGGGATACAGGTTAACCCATGAGATGTACATGACACCATGTCAAAATATGAACTTTATAATTTAGGCGTGGGGTGAGGGAGGAGAGAGGGAAATGTAGTTGTGGAGATGGAAGGGCAGGGATGGTAGGGGAAAACATAGGAGGTGGCAACAATGCTTGATAAGAAATGTACTCATTACCTTGCTCATGTAATTGTAAGCCCTATGTATGGTATTTTCACAATTGAAAATGATAATAATGCGACTTTCAGAATCATGAGTTGATTAAGCAAAACGCTTTTAATATCTGAGACATATAATTAATTTTCTTTGTATTTAACCAACATATTATATTTATTTGGTGATATTCAGTAACATTCCTATTTCAAAAATCCATCTCACTTTTAAGCCTAGCTTTGTGACTCATTCTTCAATTGCTAGCTACTACTGCTTCTTGAGTCATTTGACTCTGTAATTCTCTCCAAACTATAGAAATGTCATGCTTCTGGTAGATGATTTTGTCTTTGTCTTTCACATTTGGTAATAAGTGATAAATTGACTTCTGCAGTAACATTATAAATTCTGGTTCTGTGAGTCCCTGGATGCTGAAGTAATCCAAGATCCCACTTGGACAAGGTCTCTGGTATGACATCTTCTGTCAAGTCCTCCAAACTCAGACTACTGCTTCAGTTCAGAGAATGTGCTATGCTGCTCTCCAGACAAGCTTTGAAATAGGACAGCTGGGCCAAGCCCTACAGAGATGTTTTTGTTAAGGACTGTATCAGTGTGGGAGGAGTATTTATACCTTGCATGCAGTAATAAACTCCAATATCTTCAGCCTCCACCCTGCTGATTTGCAGTGTGAAATCTGTGCCTGACCCACTGCCACTGAATCTGTCTGGGACCCCAGATTCTCGGTTGGTAGCCCAATAGATCAATTGCTGTGGAGACTTGCCAGGCTTCTGAAGGAACCAATACAGAAGGCTATCTCCATCGCTATCTATGAGGCTCTGACTTGACTTGCAGGAGAGGGAGACTGTCTCTCCCAGGGTGACAGCCAGGGAGAGTGGAGTCTGAGTCATTATAATATCACCATTGGACCCTGAAATTAATATAAATGAAAAGTACAAGGTTATATGTGATATATAATTTTTTTCTGTGGTTATATATTAATTCCCAATCCTTTTCATGGTTTCCCTTCTATCCTAAAACCATTCAATATTTCAAAACATATACAAATATTTAAAAGCATAAATGAGGTTCTAGTTCTCATGTATACGACCCACTGCACAGTTGTCATAGTTGTCACCAAAGCTCAGGACCTGGTTCCATCTAGAATGTCCATCACTCTCATATAATTAACTTCACCTGCTTCATTCTAGAGGACAAGTTCTGTGCATCTAACCCAAGAACAGAATACAAACAAGAAGCAGTGGCCCTGAGGGCTTACCCTCAACCCCCTTTTCCATCCTCATCTCCCTCTGCCCTTACCAGTGATCCAGAGCATTAGAAGACCCAGAACACAAGAACAGAGCCTCATTTTAGCTGGGAATCCAGGAGATTTCATCAGTGAAGTCAAGGTCAAGATGAGCCTTTATGTCAAACTAGGGCTGGACAGTCCTCCTTGGGGAGCACTATGCAAATCAGCAGGTGGGTGTAGCAGTGTGAGAAGAACAAAGCAGAGGGCAAGGGCATCTCTCTGGTGAAGAAAGTGAGTTAAATTTCTTCTGTGTTTGGAGAAAAGACCCACAAATACCAGGCTGGCTCCAGCAGTGGGTAGAAGGACCCCTCTCCCCTGATGCCTGCATCTGCAGGAAGGATGTGGTGTACTTGACCCTGCAACTTGAAACACTAGAGGCCCAATTCAATTTAAATGTGTGTCCAGGGGAGTCTTGGTGAAGGGTTAGTTTGATTGGCCCTTTTCTAGTTATTCTAGAGAAAGATACTGTGCACAGACTTCATTTGCCATTGTTTCTCAGGACTTCTATCCAATACTACAGTGGTCTGATCTAGGTAAGGAAATCAAATACCTACTCGAGGTAATCTGGCATTACTGAAACAAAGTTAACTTTTGATTAGCAAGTTATCAACAACTCGTAGAGATGTTCTTCATAAGACAGACTCTGGTGGCTTATGTCTGTAATCCTAGCTACTCTTTTTTTTTTTTAATTTAATTTTATTTTATTTGAGAACATACTGTACAGAGGGGTTACGATTACATGGGCAGGAAAATGCATACATTTCTTACCAAGCATTGCAGCCTCCTCCTTTGTTTACCCTTCACCTCCCTTCCCAGCCTCCCCCCTCCCCCCCACCCAATCATACCCCCCCTCCCCCCCCCCACCGACATTGTAAAGCTGGTTTTGACATGACATTTTGTACTTCTGATTGTTGCAACAGATCCACCTGAATCCTTAAATGACTTGTTTGTCCCCATCTCCTCCACATGTTATACTGACATCAAATATAGTGAAAGCGGGGGTTACACTGTGGGGGAGGGACATACAAAGCAACAAAGAAATAATAATATAAATGCGTTAGAAACACATGCATGAAAGAAACAAAAACATTAAAATACATATTTGAGGGTTCGTTTTCCTAACATCACATTCTCTGACTTTTTCCACTTGACTCATACCTATACTAGAAATTGCAAATAAGGGAAACCATGGGACCTATGTTTCTTTGGGCCTGGCTTACTTCACTTAATATAATTTTTTCCAAGCCTTTCCATTTCCTAACAAATGGGGCAATGTCATTCTTTCTGATGGAGGCATAGAATTCCATTGTGTATATATACCACATCTTCTTGATCTATTCATCTACTGAGGGGCATCTGGGTTGGTTCCATATCTTAGCTATGGTAAATAATGCTGCAATAAACATAGTTGTGCTGGTAGCTTTAGTGTGGCCTTGTTTGTGATCATTTGGGTAAATGCCCAAAAGTGGGATTGCTGGTTCATTGGGGAGCTCTATGTGGAGTCTTTTGAGGAACCTCCATACTGCTTTCCAAAGTGGTTGAACAAGTTTACATTCCCACCAACAATGAAGTAAGGTTCCTTTCTGTCCACATCCCCTACAGCATCTGTTGTTGTTAGAGTTCTTGATTTTGCTGTTCTAACTGGAGTGAGGTGATATCTCAATGTTGTTTTGATTTGCATTTCTTTTATGGCTAGGGATGTTGAACATTTCTTCATGTGTCTATTGGCCATCCTTCTTTCTTCTTCAGAGAAGCTTCTCTTTAA